AATACTAGCCAAAAAATACTTTATTTCAAATAAAAGCACTGTAAAGACAATGCACTTAAAGTTATCCTACAACTATTACATATAATTAGTAGGAATCATGTCGCACCCTTGGAGCAAGACTGCAACAACTCAAGTTCTGAGGAAATACAACTTATAGATTGAACCTGCTCCCAAATGGTTAATTTTAACTTTTAAAGCTTTAATTTCAATTATTTTTGTTACCCGATGCTTGTTACTTTATTTTCAAGCCATTTTGTTAGATCTTAGCCAGACACCCCAATTTGAGATTAAGGCTGTTTAGCAATAGGTTTTTTTAACAAACCAAACTGCCAAATTTGTTTGTTGTGCCAGTTTACCATTTTAAATATTTTATAATCCGTAATGAGAAATGTGGCAATTTCGTTATACTTTTTAGTTTATCAATGAATTTCTACAAGACAAAATGTGTCAGTTTGTTATTATTTCACCAGTGTCATCTGGTTAAGGATTATTATCAAACTGAAAGTTAAAACACCTCAAATCAAAATGAGACAGTCTTGATTTATTATGCTTAAGTATAAAAAAACTGTAGCAGTATTATATTTTTTTTTAACCGAAAAAACCAAGAAATTTATTACAGAAACGTTGTTTGGGTTACACGTCAACCCATGCCTGGTCGGACACGAGTGCATTTAACCTTTTTTTTTTCATTTACCTATTCAATTATGATAAATATAGTTTTGATATGATTTACCATTACATAAAAAAAATGTGTTTACTAAATTTTACAATTTACACGTTGGGAACTACAGGAACTTTTTAGACCCTTAGGAAAATTGTTATGCATTTCCGGTCGTTATTTTGCTAAATTCGTTTCTTATGACTACATTTTGCGCATTGATAAAGAAAACAAAATGATAAATCGTTGTAAAGCAAACACCCAATATTAATGCACGTGTACCTTCGAGTATATTACAAAAACATGTTATTCTACTATTTTCCATAAATCAAAATACACTAGAAAATTGATTGATTCATTAGGGACTGTACACTAGTTTTCTCTTAAAATAATAGCATTTTTGTAGCTTTTATAATAATTGGAGACACTTAAGCTAGTGTTATTATAGAATATTATAAAACTATTACTAAACATTTGCCTTTTCTATTTTTTTTTTAAAGCTCAGTATTTTTACAGAAGCGTAGTGCCAGAAGAAAAAATTATATTTCACTCCACCTTTCCTCCCGTCCTAAATTTTAATGTTGAATAACTCCCAAAGTAATTAGCCAAAACTGGTTATCGAACGGTATACTATTCAGAAAATTATTCTCAGTTAAAATAGTAAATTAAATAGGTACACAAGTTACTATTTAAGTTTTTAAAAGTTGATAGGCTTATGAAAAACAATTTAAAACAAAGGTTAATGTTTAGTATTTTTATGTTTTTGTAAAAATATGATAACCAAAAATGTTTTCAAAAAAGATATACTACAAAATTGCAATTATTCTAAAGCGTACTCATTCTATCTTTAAACTATGACGAAAACATTCGGTTTGTAAGGCCAATAAAATTTTTTTATCAATTTTAAAAATGCCCATTGCTTTGTGTTCCACTCAATTTGAAAATATTTAAAACGGCGGTGATCATAGGAGATGGTGGAAAATTTTCAACAAATTAGGGGACTTGTTTTGGGCCAATGCGAACCAATAAGTCATTAATGATAAGACCATTGCATGGGTGTATAAATTATTTTGGTAACTGTTAGAGGGTGTGGATTTTGAATAATTTCGCACATTGGCGCATGTGTTTCAAAAGTTACACCGAGTTCAAAAGTAAATAAAGATTTATATGTACGATTTTCTATGAAAGTATTATTTATCGAATTTTCGCCTAACCGTTAATTCGAAAACACAATTCTTTTTACCATAGAAAAACACATGGGTTGTTCGATGTGCATTCCCATTTCCACTGTTAATATAAATGGAAATATACGAATCGACAAATTCAAGGTCTTCAAGAAATTCATGGCCAACTCGACTTATTTACGATTTTCTAGAATATTAAAAAAAAAACAATTAACGTGAATTGTTTTTGGTTTTTTTGTAATACAATGTTATTTCAAGGTCATTGTAATTTGTTCCCCTTCGGTAAGAGGATTTTAGGAAAGGATGATTTTTTGCAATATCTTGTAGCAACTTTAATGAATAACAAATTTGAAAATTTATGTTATTCTATTTTTTGTTTTTTAGTGAAATAGAATTTGATTGGACTTTGAAGTTTATAATATAACTTAAAAGAACCGTATTTTTTGAATTAGTTGGATTATTATTATTTTTAATACATAAATAGTCGCGTTTGCATTAATCGAAGTAATTGTTCAGACTTAAACCCCAAAACTTCACTAAACTGCAATAATCTACTATGCAAGGTTCCACTCTAAACCCAATGGTCATCCGAACCAACTCGTTTATAACCTCCTTACTAGATCTCTAGTCTCTACCGAACATTGTGGTCTTCGCCAAAACTGGCCAAGGGATCTGCTTAAGTAATTCAAAGATAAAGAAAGGTTAAACTGTAGGAATTTACCCTCAAGATGTGACACTGTCTATTTTTTTTATCTTTGTAAAAACATATGTTTATTTTATTTTGTAGCAGATTGTAAATATTCTAATAAAAGTTTAATTTTATAAAAATAATAATAATTCTGACAAAGTGTTTTGTTTTAATTATTTTGGATTATTAAATGTCGATTTCCAGTCAACAAATATATTACATTACAGTCGCTTTGGTTTTTTCATCAGGCGCGAGTGCCTCGATGTCATAATTTATTATTGCGTTTGTAAAGTTTTGAGTTGGTAGATAAAGGTAAAGAATTTTTTTTTTCACATTTGAGTATTTTCCACCGATAAAAGCATAAACAATTTCAAGAGCAAAGTCAGCTAGGAGTCGTTGGGTTTGACTTTTTCTATGTGCAATAATATCGAGTGTAAAAAGGCAGCACAGTGGGGTTGGGGCATGGCGGTACTCATTTGTATTTTGTAAAAAACGGTTTGTACGAATTTAAGGTAAATAAACGCAAAAAAATATTACCGACCGTGTGTTGTTCACATGCTTTATCGTTTTTTACAATACACTAGCACAACGACAATTCAGAGTATAAAATAAAACCTTACACATTATTCAATTGGAAACCCAAATGTGGGCCTCTGGATAAAGAAATCTGTGGACGTTAGAAAAGAAAAGCCAGTATAGTTAGGTCGGGGCATAGGGGGGGGACGGGGAGGGCACGGGTTAAATCACAATTAAATAAATATTTCAATGCCAATCGGTGGACAGTAGGGTCATAACAATACAGTCCAAGCCAAGCACAGTATGAAAGTATTATTTGTAAGAGAATGAGTAGTTGTAAGTGAACAAGTAAGAGGGGTCTCCGGGGTTCACAGGTAAAAATACAAATATCGATAAAAGCATTGTACCTAATGGCAATTATGTGCTTAAAAATTATTTTTTAGTATTAGGGTGAATGCGATTATGGTTGATCGTCAGTCTACCCAAATACCGTTACTGTTACCGATACCTGTTGACTTTTGATTCACTCATGCATAGCAATCTGAAAATTGAATACGGTCAAAGTGTGATTTCCAACTTTTTTTGGGGACTTGTTCTTGATAAACAAAAATTGACCAGAGATTATTTGAGAAAATTATATATATATATCATAGTACCACTCTAGATCTACCTAGGGTCTAAATTTCCCTACCCAAATCCCTAAAACTTTGCAACACATTGTCCTAAATATTATGGTAATTTGAACGGTGCACGATCGTATATTGAATCTACTCGTCAAAGATACACTCCATTCTAGTTATAAGCAATAGCCGAAAGGGTGCGCTCAAATGAAACAGACTTCTCTATACTCATACTCGTATTAAGTAAATATAAAATGTTAAAGGTTAGTCATAAAATCGCAACCATACCTGCTTAGGTCATTCCCTCCTCTTTATTTTATCACAACCCCGTTCGGTAATGTATTTCAACTTTTTATGAGAGACTTTAAGTTGGTCTAGCTGTGACTTTATATTAGGTAATATGTTTCGGAATTCGCAAATAATATTAACAAACCCTGGAAAAAATCCTAACCAACATAATAAATATACTGTAGTATGAAATCGATGTGTCACCGTACCGCTGACTACGTCATCGGCTGTATCCGACTATCAACCTCAACTTTAACGTTCTCGAAAGACCGGTCAGCAGACAAAACGTCGAATATTTTAAGGAGTAGAACCGCCAATCGAACCGGAAATTTTCTTAGGGCAACTGTTGGTAATCCCTATCCCGGTTAAAAACCAATTGTCCTACTCTAGTCTAAGCGGATCGTCGCTATTGGACTACCAGTCCTCCGAACAAAACCTAACCTAACCGGGCATTCAGGACTGCGAAAACCGGACCTACCTACTCCACCCCCCATGTAAAAATGACCGGAGTCTATGCGGCCATGACAAGCAGAAATAAGGACCAAATTCCGGGAAAATTGTTTAAGCGGGGTTTTCCCAATTTATAAATAACTGAGATTCTGCTACATATTTTAGAAAAAATATTGGAACCCAGAGATTCATATTCTTGATATTTGTAGTATGTGTTGCAATACACAGTTTCTGACTTATTTTCTGTAAAATAAAAAAAAAAATTCACTTACACTTTTTCGTTAAAACAATCAATGTGTTGGTATGGTTTTTTTACACCAAATATACTCGTGTACTTATTTACATATATCTGCAAACATGCAATTTAAATAATACCGCAAAGTCTAAAAATTCCAGTAGGTATCATATTTTATATTATACTTATATACTCGTAGAATTTTGGTTTCTTTTTTTCAAATTTTATATAAAACAGGCATTCAAAGACCGTACATTTCATTCGATTTGTATCACAGTTTAACTTCAGATAATACACTATAGACTAACACAATGTTTTTAAAGTTCTCTCTGTCGTTTCTGTTTTTTATCATGGTGGTTAGCTGTATGAATACGGACCCACTTAAAGCAACAGGTTCCGCTGAACACGAAGAGAAAACTCAAGCCGAACTGGAAAAGGATGATACGGTAATTTAAATTTTTTGGTTGAAACACTTAGGTTTTTTTCAATAGTTTTCTGAATTATTTATAATATAATGGGGAAAACTTTCCTAAATATACATTCTCTAGGAAACTATTATTGTTTTAACTTAACGGCCTACAAATACAATTTTTGTCATGAACACTTGTAATCAAAATAATTTTCTAATATGGTTTTTTAAAAAATGGTTTTGATTATGTCATATTAAATTATAGCTAGGATCGTAACCTAACCATTCGTGTTAAAATCATTAAATATAATAAATGATTAGCCCCAAAAATGTATAAGTTTTACTACTTTGTAAATTAAAAAATATTAAGTTCTAACATTTTTTGATTTAACTATTTATTACTAGTGGCTGTAAATCCGACTGTTTTCAAACATTTTGTCTAAATAAAGTACATTTTTTTTTAATTTTACTTTTGTATACGTCTATTGCTATACTGGATTTTTTAATTTGATTACTAAAACATGAAAGCTTATAAAAATAATTTTTTTAACAGCCAAAGTACATTTGACTTTATGGTATTTACAGTATTCGAGAGAAAAAATGTTTTAATTTTTTTTTTTTGGGTAATAAAACATTAAAGCTTATAATAACGCAACGTGTTTTAGGCATACCTGCTACATGTTAAAATATTATCTAAATCCAATAAAAAAAAATAGCAACAATTTTTTAGGTAATTTTTTTTTTTTTTTTTGAAACCAAGTAATAAATATTTTATCATATTTTTATTAATTAAATAATAAAAAAATAGAAATACGTAAATTAAATTTATACTTTATTTATATTAAATTAGAAAAAATATATAAGTTTTTTTAATTGCTTCGTAATTATTACGAAGGTATTGAAGTCTATGCGTATTTAAATTAGATAGATAATCAGATTTTTTTATGGAACTAAATGTTGTGTTGGTTTAAATTTTTTAGATCATTTTTTTTTTTTTGAAACCAAGCAATAAATATTTTATCATATTTTTATTAATTAAAAAAAAAAAAATAGAAATACCTAAATTAAATTTACACTTTATTTATATTAAATTAAAAAAAGTTTATAAGTTTTTTTAATTGCTTCGTAATTATTACGGTTATTCTTGTCATAAATAAAATCAAAATAAATTTTCAATATTGTTTCTTAAAAAAATGTTCTGAAATATTAGATTAAAGTTAGAATCGTAACTTAATCATTCGAGTAAAATGCATTAAATATAATAAATGTTTTACCATACAAATTTATACATTTTACTACTTTGCATAATACTATGTAACATTAAGTCCTATCACTCTTTGTTACAATTTGTGTTCTATACAAAATTATTAAATAATGTCTAGATTAAATTTTATGTAATTTTTTATTTGGTAATTAAAACATTAAAGCATACACCTAATAATAATTTTTTTCAACAGCTGAAGTATAATTAATTTAAGTCTTTAACAAATGTATAATAGTTATTATTTTTTATTTTAAATATTTATGCTATATTATGGTACACACGTTATGTTGATATATGTTTATATTCTTATATCATTATTATAACATGATTACAACAGCAGTCAATACAATAATGTTAATACTCGGAATACCAGCTACTAAAATTACAACATTTTCTATATTCATTAAAAAAAACAACTAATTGTTAGGTTAATTTTTTTTTGAAATCCGTGTAATAAATATTTTTTTTTATTAATCAGAAAATACAAAAATTAAAAACTCACATTCCTCCTTTCCCCATTCAAAAATAATAATTCATAAATCAAAATTACACTTTTATTTATATTAAATTTATAAAAAAAAATGTATATATATTTTTTAATGATTCTTAATTATTGTCACTTATTTATTTAAGTCAACGCCTATTTAAATATTATAATCAGATATTTTATGGAATTAAACTTTGTGTTGATTAACAATTTCTAGATTATTGATGAGGCGTACAAGAATGCTATAAAATGGGTAAGCTCGAAGAAAAAATTGACAGATGGTCTTTCAATTTGGCAGTATTACTCGTACCTGGGCGACAATGAAGAAGATTGGAATTTCATAAGATTGTACTTTAATGAATATATTAAAAGAGGATATATGGGAATACATTGTAAATAATTATTTACCCACGTTTTATATCATTTAATAATATGTTTTTTATCTTCGATGCGAAACCGCAAAGCAGTTAGTTTTTAGAAATTATTTCCATTAAAAAAATACCATATAATATGTATTATACTATTAAATGTGGTAAGACCCAACAATATGTTAACAAAAAGAAAAACTAAAAACAAAATTACTACTCCTTCGTCCGGACACAAATTTAAACAAATAAAAACACATCATTTTAAAAACAGTATAATTTCAGCAGCACATCGAAGCTAAAATAATTTATGTCGTCGACAACTGCAAAATATCCTACCCCCTACGATAATATGTATTTTTTGTAATTAAATTCAAAATTTTTGTTTTTTTTTAGATCACATAAATTCAGTAATGTTCCGTGATCTTTTTAAAAAGCATTGCGAGCTATTACGTGTGACCGTTGAAGAATTTGCTGAAAAAAGAAAAGCCTTAACGGATAATAAGGAAATAGACAATGACCATTTGTTTTATTGGGCTATCTATACAGAAATTGATATCGAAAGTGATGATTAGTAAATAATATAATAATATGTCTATAAATTCTATGATTTCTTTTTAAATGTTAAAAAAGTTTTTTCAAAATACAATACGTCTTAACGGCTTTTATAATTAAAAAATCACTGTTTCTTTTTAAATAAAAACTAATTATTTACATTTTGTGTAATATTATTTTCATTTGTAAGAAAAAACAAAAATGACTATAGCTTGTGTAGTAATTTAAAAAGGGACAAATTTCTACAAAATTACAACAGGTATACTATTATCAAGTAGAACACCTACATAAGTACCTCTCGGGTATGATTTGTGATCAATAGAGTTGCTACACAAAGAACAAAAAATAACACAAATTGTGGTGAATAAAGTACATTGTCAGCTCCGCATTCAAGCTAAAAACTTACGTTAAATTATTTACTATTTTATGATTATTTTAATAAGATAAATCTCGGCCGTAATAGTTAAAGCTGAACACTTTATTGGAAAAATATCACGTAAGCTAATAATAAAAAATAATGTGTGTTTTTGATCAACACTACAGTACACACTTATTAAAGTTTGTGAAAAACGAAACATAATATTTCTTTTCTAGTGTTTTTAAAAATGGAGTAATTATCATAATTTTTGAATTATTGAAAAAACTCTATAAGGTGGAATAATATTTTTGTTTTCGTCATTTCGAAAAAATACAATACAAATTTACTAACTGAATTTTTGGATATTGTTTTTGTCTTTACTGGCAAAGTGAGAATGTTGAATTTTTTAACAAAGGGCAAAAGCTATCTGAAGCTAGCCTGATAAAAACAAATAATAGTATTCTAATAGTTGTACTCGATTATAATATATCGATTTTTTGGAAAAACTTGATTTAGATCTTTTAAAAAATAAAAAACAAAATTGTGTTTGATGCAATGTGTGGATAGTGGCATGTGTTATCAATGTAACATGAAAGCGTCGACTCACCTGTCTTTACCCGATCTACAGTATAGCACTATGTACTAATGTATGACAATAAATAACTGATATTCTGCTACACATTATAGAAAACATATTGGAACCCAGTGATTCACAGTGTTGATACTTAATAGTATGAAAGTTTAGTGTTTATGGTGTTGCAATACACAGTTTCTGACCTATTTTATTTTTCGTTAAAAACATCAATCTGTTGGTATGGTTTTTATAGAAAAAATATACTTGTGTACTTATTTATATATTTGTGCAAATATGCAATATAAATAATAAATAATAACAGTTAAAATAAGTATATAAATACTTATTAATAAGTAATAAGAAGACTAATAAATAGTCTTAAAAAAAAAAAATATCCTCAATAATAGTATTGTAATAATTTTACCCAATTATATGTCAATTTATTGTAAAAACTTGATTGAGATCTTTTAAAAAATAAAAAAAAACAAAACAAAATTGGGTCTGAGGCATTGTGTCGATAGTGGCTTGCCATATTAGTGTTACTTAAACACGTCGACTCTACCTGGCCGTTTTTCGCGAAGATATAGCAAATCAAATTTGACTGTTGAAAAACCGGTAAAATTTTCCTGGGTTTGAAGAATAAGGAGTTGACTTTTTCTACATTTCACCCACCAAAGGACCATACGATTATGTATAGAGGTGCTGCACGAGTACTACTGCTTTTAATAAGCCATGAAAAAAAAACATAACAAAATCAAACATAACTAATTTTGATTTTCGTTCTTATATTCCCTTTACAAAAGCCTTTAACAATAATGATGAAATATGAATATGTGTACAGCAGATTGATGTTCATCAATATTTACATGAAAGTGTTTTTTTACATTGAAGCTGGTATTACAGATGCGAGTAAAGTAAAACTAGGTAATAATGGAATATTATATATTTTTGAACAAGTACGTTTAGAACTAAATGGGATTGATTTTCGATAGTTCGCATTTATTGGGTGTCACTAGTTATATTAAAGTATATTTATCTGGTACACCAGATGGTTATTTTTGTTATGAAAATGCTGGTTAGATCAGGTCGTTTTACTGCTTGTATTCCTTTGAAATATTGGATGGGTTTATTTGAAGATTTCAGAAAATTTTTATTAAATTCTCGACTTGAACTAATATTAACAAGATCAAATAGTGATTGAATGCTTTAATTCAAAAAAAACATTTAGACGAAAGTAGACATTTTGATGTGTGTGTAGAAAACTTCTTCACTGCCGAAACTAGGAAAACCCCCCAAAAAATAGATTATTGATACATTTTTAATTGTTGAAATTAACTAAATAAAAACTTGTAACACATATGGCCAACGCAGTATTTTCTGATTACTTTCTTTAATTAAGTAAGACTTGAGTTGTACTTAAGCAGAGCTTAAAATTTGTTGCTTCACTAAATAAGTACAAAACTTACTAAGGCATAGCTTAACGCCATTTTCCAGTTTGTTACCGACTTCTTTCAGTTAATTTACCGTTATCATTTATAGTACTACGTTTAATTGGCCATAAAAATTGTGTTTTCTTGATCACCAAACGATTGTATTTTTATATGGCTTCAATCTATTTGTCCTATAACTCTAGATAACTTGGTTACGCTAAAGAAATTGTTGGCTGCTATAGACATATGAGGTTTAGTTTGTGGTGGATAATTAAATTGTTGCAAATATCTACTTGTGTATTTATTTACCAAATCGTGCAAATTTACAATTTAAAAAATAATGCGACATCTAAAATGTTCAATACATATCATATTTTATACACTTATGTAGGTACTCGTACATAATTTTGGTTTTTTTTTCCATTCTATATAAAACAGGCATTTAAAGACGGTAAAATTCATTCGTCGTGTCACACAGTTTAACTTCAGATATTACAATATAGTTTAACACAATGTTTTTAAAGTTCACTCTTTTGTTTCTGTTTTTTATCATGGTGGTTAGCTGTATGAATACGGACCCACTTAAAGCATCAAATTCAGCTGAACCCGAAGAGAAAACTCAAGCCGAACTGGACAAGGATGATACGGTAATTTATATTTTTTCGTTCAAACACTTAGGTTTTTTTTCAATAGTTTTCTGAATTATTTATAATATAATGGGGAAAACTTTCCTAAATATACATTCTCTAGGAAACTATTATTGTTTTAACTTAACGGCCTACAAATACAATTTTTGTCATGAACACTTGTAATCAAAATAATTTTTTAATATTGTTTTTTAAAAAAATGGTTTTGACTATGTCATATTAAATTAAAGCTAGGGTCGTAACCTAACCATTCGCGTTAAAATAATTTAATATAATAAATGAGTAACCCAAAAAATGTATAAGTTTTACTACTTTGTAAATTAAAAAATATTAAGTTCTAACATTTTTTGATTTAACTATTTATTACTAGTAGCTGTAAATCCGACTGTTTTCAACATTCGTATACGTCTATTTCTGTACTGTAATTTATTAATTTGATTACTAAAACATGAAAGCTTATAATAATAATTTTTTTAACAGCTTAAATACATTTGAGTTTATGGTATTTACAGTATTCGAGAGAAAAAATGTTTTAATTTTTTTTTTGTTTGGGTAATAAAACATTAAAGCTTATAATAACGCCTCGTGTCTTAGGCATACCTGCTACATGTTAAAATACTATCTAAATCCAATAAAAAAAATTGCAAATATTTTTTAGGTAATTTTTTTTTTTTTTTTGAAACCAAGTAATAAATATTTTATCAAATTTTTATAAATCAAATAAAAAAAAAATAGAAATACGTAATTTAAACGTATACTTTATTTATATTAAATTTGAAAAAATATATAAGTTTTTTTAATTGCTTCGTAATTATTACGGAGGTATTGAAGTCTATGCGTATTTAAACTAGATAGATAATCAGATTTTTTTATGGAACTAAATGTTGTGTTGGTTTACATTTTTTAGATCATTTTTTTTTTTTTTGAAACCAAGCAATAAATATTTTATCATATTTTTATTAATTAAAAAAAAAAATAGAAATACCTAAATTGAATTTACACTTTATTTATATTAAATTAAAAAAAGTTTATAAGTTTTTTTAATTGCTTCGTAATTATTACGGTTATTCTTGTCATAAATATAATCAAAATAAATTTTCAATATTGTTTCTTAAAAAAATGTTATGAAATATTAGATTAAAGTTAGAATCGTAACTTAATCATTCGAGTAAAATGCATTAAATATAATAAATGTTTAACCATACAAATTTATACATTTTACTACTTTGCATAATACTATGTAACATTAAGTCCTATCACTCTTTGTTACAATTTGTGTTCTATACAAAATTATTAAATAATGTCTAGATTAAATTTTATGTAATTTTTTTATTTGGTAATTAAAACATTAAAGCATACACCTAACAATATTTTTTTTCAACAGCTTAAGTATAATTAATTTAAGTCTTTAACAAATGTATAATAGTTATTATTTTTATTTTAAATATGTATGCTATATTATGGTACACACGTTATGTTGATATATGTTTATATATATAACTTTCAGGCCATAGAAAAGGCGTTCGCGAATTGTCTAAAGTGGGCAAACTTGAAATTACGTTCTGTAAATGAATGTATTTCAAAGAATGCTTATTACATGTACATGGGTGACAACAGAGAAGTTTGGGATTTCATTACCTCGTACTTTGGTGAACATGCACCAAAAGATCCAGAAAATGAATGTAAATATTAACAAACATGTTACTTATTAACAATATTCTTGTCTTATTAACACTATTTTATCTCTGATGTGAAACTGTAAGGCGGATGGTCTTAAGGATATTTTTTTGAACTTTTAAAATCGTTTTTGTTTTGTTTTAGCTTACATAGGATTACCATTATTTCGGGATCTTTTTAAAAAGCATTGCAAAAAATCAGGAAAGCCCGTTGATGCACTTGCTGAAGAAAGGGAAGCCGCAGTGAAATACGAGGACGCCATAGTAGAAAAGGCGGATTCTGAAACAGAAAACCAAGGCAAATATTTTGTCTATGATTATAAAAATAATATCAT